TATATGCAGGAGGTGCTCCAAATGGTTCCAAGCAATAACATTTAAAATGCCCCCACCCCTGCCCAGATAGCTGCATGCATTTTAAAACTATATTCTCTCATCAGAGTCTGGAAGAGCTTTCAGGACAACTTGATGACTCTTTCTGAAGGGGTTACATTTTTAAAATGTTTATCTTAGTATGTTAATTTACTGTTTTAAAAAAAAAAAAAAAGACGAGTCTCAGCTTAAGTTCTACTGGATAATTATTTGCCCTTTTGGTGGTTGATTATTATGCTTAGAAATGCCATTTAAATATTATTTTCACTAGATATCTGTTAGCTTCTGTAGTACAATAGGTAGTTCTGTGGGCCTCTATAAATGAATGATACTTGAATTTATAATTACTTGTATATTTTGCACCAGCATAGATTTTTAAGGATTCTGGCCTATTTCAGTATCTTGGTTTAACAAGAAGGTTAGACATTTGAAAATGCCAGGTACAGTGGCTTACACCTGTTATCCCAGCACTTTGGGAGCCCCAGGTGGGTGGATCTCTTGAGCCCAGAAGTTTGAAACCAGCCTGGGCAACATATTGAGACCTCACCTCTACAAAACATTTTTAAAAACTAAAAATTAGCTGGGCTTGTGGTTCCAGCTACTTGGGAGGCCAAGGGAGGAGGATCGCTTGAGCCTGGAAGGCCAAGGCTGCAGTGAGCTGTGATTGCACCACTGCTACAGCCCCTGGGTGAAAGAGCAAGACCCTGTCTTTAAAAAAAGTTTGAAAAGATTCCTCGATGATGATTCAAATGTAATTCACATTGCTGTCCCTTTGATTTGACTGCTAGAACAGCAGCTGTGGTGGAGCCAGCGCTCCTTCTGTAAGCTAAGCTAAATAGGTAGTGTGATATACTCAGCTGTGTCAATTCAGCTCCTCTGTAGAGAGCATAAAGGAGCAGCAGGTTTTCCTCATTTGCCACACTTAAATATATATTCCATTTTTAATATTAAGAGCAGTAAATTTGAAAATAGAGAGTAATAAATGTTAAAGAAATGTATACTTAGAGTAACACATATATGTTATATAGAGAGAAAATATAGAAACAGTAACAGATTTTTAGAGTAACAAATTACTACTAAACTTTATGCCCCACAGTTTACATAGTTTTTTAGAAGGCCAGATTTTCTTAGCGTATAAGCTTTCTTTTTAAATTATTGAATATTTAACCTGTATTACAAATTAGGACCTGTTCTGTCTACCTGTACCTATTCATTTCTAAAATGTGTTCTTGCATTTAATTTTTTGCTTGTTGCGTTACCGCATTAAAGCTGAGTAAAGCTAATGGGTAAAAATAAGCAAGTAGGAAAGTCTCTTGAAAGTGTTGAGAATGGGTAAACTACTAGATGTACTTTGCCGTTATAGCATGGTTCTTGGTGGAGTTGTAAATCATATGTGTTTTGCCCACAAAGCACATGCTAATATTAAGTTGTTTTTAAAGTGATTGTGTTGCATCACCATGGTTCTTCTATGCTCTGTGGGGTATCATGTTGCTTTAATGTAGTGAACCAAGTCCTCAGCTCCTAAATCTCCATGCTGGAAATGATTACATAAAACTGAATGGCCATGTCTGAAGTCATGAATCTTGAGAATTTTTTATTCTTTGGAAAAGCCTTACAAGACTTTTCTTATTCTTTGAGGGGAAAAGCCCTGTACTTATAAGAAGTTTCTGTTGAAAATATTAGCCATTTTAGGTTATATAGCATTCTGTTTGAAAAATAAGCATTTACTCTGCTGCAAGTTCTGTATTTTAACTTTGTGCAGATGTGTGCTTAAAGAACATGATGTGCTTATTTGTTGCATTTATGCTACTTTCTTACTTTAACTAAGATGGATGAAGTTGCATATTAAATAAAAACAGCAGTCCTTACCAACCTGAAAAAGCCTTCCAAAAACAGTGGAGAAAATGAGAATATGACTTTAATAATTCATTGACTTTTGAGAGAATTCTGTTTAAAAGCATGTATATAATTTCTTTGCAGGTTTACTCAGTGTTTTTAATGTTAAAAGTAGTCTGCCAGTAAATTATAAAATATTACCAAAAGTATTATTTTCTATCTTAACCAAATATAGCACTTTAAATTTTACATATCTTGTTATACACAGACGTATATATTGTATGTGGCATAAAACTCCAGTTAGAATAACTTCATGGCCTTGGGCAAGTTAAACTCCCTGAACCTCATTTTTTTTTTCTGTATGATGTAATACTTACCTTTTAGAATCATTGTCATGATTAAATGAGAAAAATCTATTTAGAATAATGTCTGACAGATATTTATCACTACATGTTCACTTCTATATGCCAAGCTTCATAAAGCAGTGTCTTTTTATTTGGTACTTCTGAGCTAGAAAGTACTTTGTATTGAGTATTACTTGCCACACTCAATTCTAAAGTGAAACTTTGTATTGGATATTACTTATCACACTTAATTCTGAAGTGAAATTTAGAATACGTAGAATAAATTTTTCTTAGGATATTTAAGGAGCATGTTTATTGAGTGGCTGCTAAGCATAAAACATTGCTTCTATCATATACAGTTGACTATATTTAAAATTAATTAAGGTAGAGGTCAGTCTAAATGCTATTCCCAGTTCGTTTTATAGTTCCTCTCTCTCTCTCGTTGGCTCTTTGTGTGTGTGTGCGTGACCTTGTTAACTTTAAGAAAGTTTTCAAAATAAAGGAGCACTTGACTTTGTAGTCATTTAAAAATAGAGTTGATCAATATGAAGCGTTAGCTACGAGCACAAGTTGGTGCTTTTTTATTGATTTCAGTTACCAATGCCCTCAGGCTTATGTGTGTGAGAATGAAAATGATATATGAAATATGCACCCAGATTCAACAGACCAATGTTCTTGTTACATCTGCAACCGCTTTGGCAGAATTCTTTATTTGGAAGTGACTTTGGTAGCAGTTAGTTCCTGTCTCCCCCTGTCTCTGTCTCACACACACACACACACACACACACACACGTGCAGGCAACCTTAAGATAGACTCATACAGTGCTTTGGGAAGTTTCTGCCATTTAGTTACTTTTATTATAAAATGCTATTCAAGGTTCTAGACTTAACAGTGCGTGAATATACTTTTTGTCATTTTTAACAGATGGTTAGAAGCCAAAATCTTGATGATTTGAAAGATTCTCCGCTAAGTAGCCAGTTGCAGACCAATAAAGCCAAGAAGGTGAATACCAGGGAAGCCTGCTCAGAGCAGGGCACGCATTATTTAGAAAGTTGTATAAGGAAGTTTGCTTTGGGCAGAGGTTGTCATGTCTGTCCCATCAGTCAGAGTTCCAGCAGCTGTTCCCAGTCACCAGGACCCTTGTATGCTACTGTTCGTCCATCAGCACTAAGAGATACCGGCTGCCTTTCCACCGTGCTGGGGAAGCCACGGACACACAGACTTACGGTGTTATCTCACTGGCCACCAGTGTGGATGAAAGCTCATTTTCAAAGAGGGAGACCAAACACCAACGTTTTGATCTTTTATTAAACCATTAACCAAAATATATTCTCAAGAGAATTAGTCGGATGCCATAAAGTGTGTCTATTTTTGGCTATATGTATGGCTGTAATAATGTAGGAGTGTTGCACATTTGAATCCAAAGAGATACCCTACTTAAATGAGAGATGGGAGAACTTTCTCCACTAGATGCCAGATCATTACTATCAGGGTATCACTGTGAAGAGACCTTTCTGGTTGAACACAACAATGCAAAAAGGACTTAAAATCACAAGCATTCTTTTTTTGATAGTGCAGCAACCTGCCAAATGGGATATATCCCAATTCTGATTATAGACAAACCTGCAACAATTCCCTTTTTCTCTTTTTGTATTCCAGAGGTATCCCTAGAGGAAAGGATTTGTGGGCATTAGTATCACTATCTGCCTGATTACTGTGTTGACATTTTTAAAGTGCCATTAATCATAGGAAATGGAACTTAATGGTGTAGAAAAGTACCCAGCCAGGGAATGTCAAGAAAGTAAGCTACAGCCCAGTATTCACATGAAATTAAAGGGAAATGCATCTTAACCCTTTAATTATTTTTTCTTCTTACTGAATTATAAAGGAAAGCAATTGAGAAGTAGCTTTGCAATCAAAGGTAATGGTAAACATAGCAAAAGAAAATTATAAAAGACAGCTGATGGTATGCTGCACAGGTAATGCTGCCATTAAGGGTATACAGAAGTAAAAAGCAGTGATATGACACATGAATAGAGTAATTCATTTTTCAAAAACTGGCAATATTTAATGCATATTTTGTTAGAGTTTGGTATCATTTCATTGTTTGCCTATTAGCTAATTTAAATTAAAATGTTTTCCTAACTGAAATTGTAGGGAAGAGATAAATATAGATAGCCTCATTTTAAAAACATATGTGACACTAAACTTATAAGGAACTAATTATACTGTAAAATATTTTTGGCTGGACGCAGTGGCTTACACCTGTAATCCCAGCACTTTGGGAGTCCAAGGCGGGCAGATCATGAGGTCAGGAGATTGAGACCACCCTGGCCAACACGGTGAAACCCCATCTCTACTAAAGATACAAAAAATTAGCTGGGCGTGATGGTGGGCACCTGTAGTCCCAGCTACTCAGGAGGCTGAGGCAGGAGAATGGCGTGAACCTGGGAGGCGGAGCTTGCAGTGAGCTGAGATCGCACCCCTGCACTCCAGTTTAGGTGACAGTGCAAGACTCCATCTCAAAAAAAAAAAAAAAAAGGTTTTTGGTGCTGACTCTGAGCAGGTGCTTCATTTGATAAATAGCACTTTAATCCGCTTTCTCCCTTGGCCTTTTCTTTTTCAAGACAGTTTACAGCATAGGACACATAATAGATTCTCAATAAAGACTGATGGATTGACCTATGGGTCTAAGATGAATGAATTTTAGGGTGATCTGTATAAGGAGACTGCAAAAGAAGTAATATTGTTAAGTGTTGGGCTTTTTATTTTTTCCACTGCAGGTTTTTGTCGTCCATTGGAGGGACACTGTATGAGATTGGAAAGCCTGAAATGCAACAAAAAATAAATTCATTCCTTGAAAAGGAAGGAATGGAGAAAATCGCAGAAAGATTGCAAACAACAATACACACTTTACAGGTCATCATAGATGGTCTCAGCCAGCCTGAAAGCTTTGACTTTCGAACAGGTAAACAATTGAACTTAAATTATATAGCACCTTGCATATGCATAGCTCCCATTATCTCCTTTGATCCTCACAGCAATCCTATGCCGTAAGCAGAATGGATATTATTCTCCCATTTTATACATGAGAAAATTAAAGCATAGTGATCTTCCTTCAGAGTCATTATGGTTAATATCCAGAGCCAAAGCTAGAAGCCGGGTGGTCTCCCTGGACTCTTTGTTCACTGTGTATTTCCCATTTACTAAACTAAATGCATCATGCGTGTACCGCTGTATGCATGGAGGCACACATTTTTTTATGGTCCTTTTGTAAGCTGTTTTTATCTCCTGGGAGCCAGAAGTGCAAGATAAAGCAGTCCCTTCACAAGCTAAAAGGTGAATCTTCTTCCTTAATTATAGCTTTCCAAGTTCTTGGATTCTGTGTCAATGAACACACTGAACAAATAAGATAATATCTATCTGTTGATTTTCCTTCTAATTAAAAGTGCTCTCAGCTTTCAGCACAGGTAGATGGTGAGGGACGTATAACAACCATAGTTGTTGAGAGCAGTGACCCAGTAAAAAAGAATTACAGTATCAAATGACCTACTTCCCGAGGAAGTTTGAATAGGAACCCCTGAGATTTAAATGAATCTGCTCATTGGTCTTATAACCAGTTTTGATGATACCATGTTTAGACCATTGTCTTTTTACTCTGGTTTAGGCTGTGTTGAGATGGTTAGACATACTTCTTTGAAAGGGTTTAAAGGAATTTTGAAATATATCCAGCAAGTTCATTGTGCTATTCCTCCTTCTGTAGGGTTTTCTTTTCTTTTTTTTTTTTTTTTAAGTTAAAGAAAAATAAAATAACACCCAGTAAGAACTATGCCAAAAATGTGAGAGTAGAAGCCTCCTAGTGGTCCTCCACCCAATGTGGATGTTTCAGCAGACAAATCCATCTCCATTTGGAGGCCCGGTATCCTTTTATGGGAATTTCTTGGCTGGTTTTTAGCTGGAGTGCTGGGTAGAGCAATGGTTCTCAAAAATACTGGATTTGGAGGTGGTATGGCTACATCCTTTGCATTAGCGGGTTGGCAAAAAATGCTATAACTGCAGGTATCCTGTACTGGATTTTTCACATCCATCTTCATTTTTCTGTCTTAGTGTCGATTGTTCCATTATCCCAGTTGCATTGTAGACTCAGAGCAAAGATCAGCACTCAAATTATATGGTCCAATTAAACTACCAAGTTGTTGAACAGAAAGACAGATGCATCTGGGCTCTGGGCTGAGCTTTCCAGTTACTGCAGTGTTTATCAGTGTGGCAAGTGAAGTTTTAAATAGGTCTCTTTAAGCAAACTTTGGAACTGACATTTGCTCTAATGTAAGTCACAATTTTCAAAATGTCTGAGAACTTTCATCTTACTACTAAACACGTCCCCAAGGTGAGGAAGGCATAGAAACCATACTTTTGTGGGGGCATTTTGGTCATTTCCATGGATGATGTTTTATGTTACATCTCTTTCCTCCATTTTCTCAAAAGTATTTCTTAATGCCTCATTCTTTCCTCATAATAATTCTGTCTTTTGTTTTATCAATGGTGTAATTAATTTCATGTGTATTAACACTATGGTGACTAGTTAATTTCCCTAATTGGGTTCATCAGAAGCTATCCAGACACAGGGGCTGAAAATGCTTGGCTATGAAAGTGTTAAAAGTTTGCGTGGTACATGGAGGGTTTTCTGATTTCTCAGTGTCCCAGACTGTCTTCAGGAATATGTTAAGTAGTTCCTGACTCTGATTTTCCATGCAAGATTAAACTAAGCAGCTGATCAGGAACCCTTAGGGAATCCGCAGCAGCTGGACCTCTGCAAGAAAAGAGAGAGACAAAGAATTTCCAAGCATAAAAACAATGCCTATGGGGTCTCGGAGACCATCCTGCCTCTCTGCCCCGATCAGTGACTTAGTTCCACTTTGCTGTGACACAGCCTTAGCCTAGTGTAATATTATATTACAGTAGGTTTCTTGCTTTTGGAATTCACTGCTTTAGCATCAGGTCAAATTCCACAGAATCAATCCCAATTTTAGCCTACTCTTTTTCATGGCAATGGTGAAATTTGGAGTTTAAAGAAGATTTTTATCTTCTTTTATAGGAAAAAGCTTAGTTTTTAAAACATCTTGGTATCAGTATGGTTGGACTGGGGGAAGGGAAGAAAGGGGTGGCCAGTTGTTAATACAACTGTAAAGGATAGCTTTAACAAGTCATCAGGATAAAGCCAACAGCTGCGGAGGAAAAGGAAATGGAATGGGTGGAGGGGAAAATGAGGCCTTAGTAAAAGGAGATCCAAGCATAGAATGTGTTCTTTGTTATTAGAGTCAACACTCAGTAATCCTAGGAAAGGGGGCCTTCAAGAGGAGCATGGATAAATGGAATCCACAGATAATCCACAGCCCCGTTTAAACTGTTAGTTCTAACTGTCTCCCTCATAAAAACCATTGTTTTTAACTAGAACCATAATGATTTCCTTGGCATACTTTATGCCTATCTTTTGGACAATAATGAACAAAGAAATGTATGCTGGGGTAAGGAAGAAAAAAGGGCTATAAAGAACTTGGAAACAGAAATCTGTATCTTCATCATTGTTTCTGTAGCACCCAGCAGAGTGCCTGGCCAGGAGGTAATAGAGTTAATAAATGTTTGATGAATTTAATTGAAAGAGAAAGAATATTAGGTACTACCTGGTCTGGGATTCTGAGTCATAGATAATCAAGAATCCATAAATGTTGATTGGATAAATATATTTGAAATGGGTGGGAATGGATTTTCTGAGTTCCAAATTTGTGGGAAGAAGTGAGGAAGAAAGAACGTTTGAATTTCATCCACATTTGACCAAAAGTTGATGTACTTTCTACCACCTTTAAACAATTTAATAATCCAGGCACTGGGAGAAAAACAAAAAAAGCTTCCAGTCTCTTGTTTTCCAAACGTCTTACTTTCTCAGTGTTTGTAGTTTAGCTTTGTATATTTATTAAGCAAATATATATATTCTCACCACCTCTTCACAGAGAGGAAAATAAGACTCTCTTCTCAATCCTCATGTATAATGCTAGTGTGTAGCATTGTAGAAGAAAGTAAATTTTCTTGAATTGTTTCTACTGCATGAATGCTATCTCCAACCGATATGCATGTTCTCTGAAGGCAAGCCTCGGTCTTCAGCTCCTTGTATGTCCCCCCTTAATCTTTAATATTGGTCTGGGCACATAATCAATATGTATTAAGTGCTTATTCACAAAGTTATATTGTATTTAGGAAGTACAATGCCGTTTCCACTCACTTTTTTTCTCTTTCCTTACAGATTTTGATAAACCTGATTTCAAGAGAAGCATAGTATGCCTGGAAGATCTGCAGGTTGGGACAGTTCTTACAGGCAAAGTGGAGAATGCCACTCTCTTTGGAATTTTTGTGGATATAGGAGTAGGGAAATCTGGACTGATTCCTATACGAAATGTAACAGAAGCAAAACTTTCAAAAACAAAGAAGAGAAGGAGCCTTGGACTGGGCCCTGGAGAAAGGGTGGAAGTCCAAGTACTCAACATTGACATCCCCCGATCTAGGATTACTCTGGACCTCATTCGGGTGTTATGAGTGTCCAACTGAAGGCCAAACACTGATTTTATTTTCTCATTTCTACAGATTGACAAGAATAAGTCAGTTGCTTGTAAACTTTAGGTAGCAAATGAGAAATAATTCACTTAATATCAGAAATATTTTCCGAACACTTTCCTTTATTTTTTCTTCTGAATTAATAGAAAACCAACAGTTTGATTTCCTTTCCCCTTAAAGGAAACAACTAAAATACACATTCTTATATGGCTTTATGTAGTAATAGTTTTCTGGCTAAAATTTTGGTTTTTATTTTTTTGTAATTTACCTTTAACTCCTTTTGCATTTTGTGTAACAGATTGCTTAACTTCTGCTTGCCAACATCTGCCTTGCTGGACTGGTATGGGATTGTCTTCTTGATTTGACTTGTACAGTCTTTGTTGACACAGTAGGGCTGGGCAGTGTTTAATCCTTCCATTTTATAGATTCTTTTTTTAATCAGGCCTTTTGGACTTCATTCATCATTTTGCAATAATCTCTTTTCCTTTGTCATGCAAACCAAAACAGATTTTGATGTGTTTGTAACCATCAAATGAATGGTTCGAAACATGTCTCAAAAGGATATATATATTGACCCCAACAATAAAGGTTTGTGGCTAGTGACTTGTTTTTGCTATGTTGATTCAGTGAATGACTTAGAAGTCAGTCTTGATGAAAGAAGATATGGTTTATGTAACCCTTGGAGAAGAGGGAAGCCTTTGGAAATTTGAAGAATGGTTTTCTTTGACTTAGCATAGAAGAGTGTGTCCTTTCTTAAATCAGAATTAAACTTCAAGTGGGGATAGAAATGGCCGTTTTAAAGATCAAATATAGATCAGGTGTGAAGGGACAAGAAAAACAAGTATATGAAGGAAGTGACTCTTATTCTGTTTTTATTCATTGGAGATTGTAAGGATTAGCATGACCATTCAGGGTCAAAATAAAGCCCACAGTGGACTGGTATCCTGTTCATTCTGACTACTGCTGCTGCTGTTGATTTACCTGATGAAGATATTTGTATGACTGAATGAGTGTTTGGTTTTCTCCATGCATAAGTAGGGGATGGTTACTAAAGACGACCAGTCTTGTTCATTTGCCTAGGAAACACCCATTGTCCTGGCATAATTTTTAATATTGCCTCTCTTTATTCTCAGAGTGCCCCATTTTGGATGATAAATCATATGATCAACTATAATAGTCACTAAGTAGTGACTGTGACTATAGTTCATGATAGTTCTACAATGCAGTAGGTTCCTTAAAAGTTGCATATATCAACTTTTTTGATATATATAACTATTTGCCTAGCAATTTCATTTCTGAAATGCTTTTCCTCTGTTTCTTACTGGTCTTTAACTGATAATGGATCTATCTTAATGTTATAACTTTAAGTCGATCTTCCTACTCACTCCTCCCAATATTCTTCCAGGTTCATAATCTATAGATCAGTGATGAATGATGTGTACCTGAGGAGTCTTACTCTGAAGCCCGAGATATAAGTTCACATGAGTGTTTTAGAGGAAGAGGCCTCCTCCCTGGGCACTTCAGATATAGGAACAAGAACAGTTGACAGTGTAAAGCTGCTCTGTTGACCTGGCAGCTAGGCTTTCATGGACACAACAAGGACTTGACATTGCACTGGATTGTGTAGTTTGTCCCATCCAGCCCAGACATGGTAGAGGCTGGTGTAAGGCCTAAGCTATAAAATGAGGGGCCACATCTCATTTATAACTGCAAAGTGTGCATGGTGATCCATTATATTCTATTCCTAGTCCCTGTTCTACTAGTAATCCAGTGTGCCTTTGAGCTGGTATCTTTACTTCTACAGACCTCCTTTTTCCAAATTTAAAATGGCATATGAGAAAGCATTTATTCCCATGTACATTTACTGGTGACCTCCTGGTGTGCCAGGCATTGTGCTAGTCACTGACCAGAAATTGTGATAGAAAAATAGGTAGGGGTAGGGAGCACGAAAAGAAAATAAAAAGAAAAAAATAGTCATTATCCTTGTCCTTATGGAGCTTAGAGTCTATTGAAAAAGCATAATTAATCATATAAAAATGTAAAACTACAATCAGATAAGTGATATAATGGTGACGACATGTAATAAATGGGTTGACTTAGAAAAGTCAAAGTAGTTCAGTGGGATTTGAGATGTGAAAGATGACCAGAACTAGGACAAATTTTACTGACCTTTAATAATAACTCTTCCCGGAGGCGGAGCTTGCAGTGAGCTGAGATCCGGCCACTGCACTCCAGCCTGGGCCGCAGAGCGAGACTCCGCCTCAAAAAAAAAAAAATAATAATAATAATAATAATAATAATAACTCTTCCCAATAAATAGTGAGAATGAGCTGTATTGGAGTGGGCTTAAGAGAGTAGGAGGAATTAGATTGCAGACAGTGAATATAGACAGTTCTTTTAGGGAGTTTAGCTGTAAAGGAAGAAGAGAAATAGCATAGTGGTTGGAAGGGGGAAATGGAGTCAAAATTTAAGACAAAAGAAATGTATACAAATGGAAATGATCCAGTAAAAATAGGAAAATATGATACAGGAGACAGAGGGGAGAATTACTGGAAAGATATCCTTGACTAAATGAGATCAGATGGAATCTAGTGCACAAGGGGTTGGTCTAAGTTAGGAATACAAAGAGTTTATTCATATCAGTGAGAGAAAGGACTAAGTATATGAGCACAAATGTAGGTAGGTAAATATAGGAGCTCATGGAAAGTGAATTTCTTCTAGTTTTCTCATTGAATTATGAAGGAATACCATCATATGAGATGAAACATTGAAGAGAAAGGGAAGTGTGAGGAACGGATGAGAATGAGAGTGAAAAGCCTAGGGAAACAGCGTGACTTCTAGGCAGTGTTAAATGTTTCACTTAAGGTTATTGATCATTAATTGAATTTAAGATCAGCTTATTTTTTTCTCCAGCCCATCAGCTTTGTGGGTGTGGGCCCAGATTAGGTGGAGAGGTGATCTAATCAGGGTTGGGGGTTTGCCAAACAAGTACAATGAAGAGGACAAAGAAGTTGAGAGCAGGTAGACAAACTATTGACCATGGAATTTAAGCTTAAGTAGAAAAATGAGAGTATAAGGGGACAGTGAGGAGCAGTGGGAAAGTATGGGATTAAAGGATTGTAGGCCCTGATGAAGTTGGAGGGATGTTGGAGTGGGAATAATAGAGGAAATAATGGGTTTAGGTAAGAATGCTTGTCAAAAGTGGAGTGCATAACCTTGAGATTACAGAGGAGTTGCAGGTTTTGGCACTGACAGCATAGGGAATGAAAGTGGGGTAAGCAGCAGAAGTAAAGGATAAGGTAAGATCAATTAAAGAAAAGAAATTCTGGTCTGTCAAGAACAGAATTGGAGCAGGTGTGCTGGCTCATGCCTGTAATCCCAGGACTTTGGGAGGCCAAGGTAGGAGGATGTTTTGAACCCAGAGGTTCAAGACCAGCCTAGGCAATATAGGGAGACCCCATCTCTATAAAAATTAGATTATCCAGGCATGGTGCCACACACCTGTGTCCCAGCTATGCAGGAGGTTGCGACTGCAGTGAGCTGCACTCCAGCCTGGGTGACAGGGCAAGACCCTGTCTCAAAAAAAAGAACTGAGAATTCAGGAAGGATTATCTATGTGAAGAATGATTTTAGGAGGCTGTCTCAGTAATGCAAGCTAAAATAACGGTGGCTTGGATCAGAATGTTAGTGGTAGAAATGGTGAGAAGTGGTGGGATTCTGGATGTAGTTAGGTGGAGGTAGAGCCAAACAGGATTTCCTGGCATAAGATGTGAGACAATCTAGGATGGCTCCAAGGTTTTTGGCCTAAGCAATCAGGAGTATAGAATTATCTACTGAAATGAGAAGACTGGCAGGGGGAACAGTTTGGTAAAGGAATTCATTTTGGGCAGGTTAAATTTGAGATACTCATTAGACATCCAAGTGCTGATGTTCAGGGGAGTGGGCTGGACTGGAAATGTGAATTTGATAGTTACTAGCATAACTACTTAGAGCCGTGAGACTGAATGAGACCACCAGTGGAATAAGTGGAGATAAAGTAGAGAAGGGGTCCAAGGGCCAAGTTGTTGAAATCCAAGACCCTCAGCTATAAAATTTTTAAACTTCATAAGGCAAGAATTTTGTCTCATGGCCCGGCCTGCTAGATGCTTATTCAGATTTCTCCCCTTCTTTCTAAGAAGATCCTGCCTAGAGAGGAGCAATGATATGGCTAATGGACGTGAACATGATCAATTAAATATAGGCAGAAGTCATAGGATGGAATTCTAGGAAAGTTAGAAAGGGGTGGGGAGTGCAGGCAGCTCAGCTATCATGCTTTTCTTAACCTTTGCCCTTGCCCTCCTTCCTGCTTGGAATGCAGATAGAGTGCTGAAGGTGCTGGAGATTCCATCAGAATGACTGAAAATTTCCAAATTTATCTTGGCATTATGGAGTAACCAAAATAGCCCCAGACTACCTGCACTGGACTTCACATTTTGTGAGAAAAAACAAAACCCTCATTCATTTAAGCTGAGGGGAGTGAGGTGGGGGCTTACAGCAAAATGTATTCCTTAATATACATTTATGTTGTGCCCTACTATATCCCCTATATCTAGAAAAATGCCCAGCATGTGACAGTTGCTCAATAAATATTGATTGGGTGAATAAATGAACATCTAAGAATTCCATAAAATGGTTCAATGTAAAATAAACATCTAAAAAATAATGTTAAAACGATATGATGGAGTAAAGATTCCTATTCATTACAACACACTGTAAAATATTTAGACTCGGTCGGGCACAGTGGCTTACACCTGTAATCCCAGCACTGTGGGAGGCCGAGGCGGGCGGATCACGAGGTCAAGAGCTCAAGACCATTCTGGCCAACGTGGTGAAACCCCTTCTGTACTAAAAATACAAAAATTAGCTGGGCATGGTGGTGTATACCTAGTCCCAGCTACTTGGGAGGTGGAGGCAGGAGAATCGCTTGAACCCAGGAGGCAGAGGTTGCAGTGAATCGAGATTGTGCCACTGCACTCCAGCCTGGTGACAGAGCGAGACTTTCTCTCAAAAAAAATTTAGACTCTAATAATCAATATAAAAGATATGAATATGAAGAAAAAGTATAAAGCATTACTAATGAATATTTAAAAAGCAGAATATATTAAGGTATACCATTTTCCTAACTTATAAGGCTATAATTAGTATTCTAGAAAAACCAGTCCTCCAAAAATGATATATATCTTTTTTGCCACAATTTTAGTCATCATTCCAATTGGCTTTACTTTTGTCTGTATGTTTATTTAAACTTAAAACTTATTTGGAAAAGTATGTGAGAAAAATCAAATCAATACTTCAAAAGAATAATTGAGGTGAGGTGTGGTGGCTCATACCTGTAATTCCAGTATTTTTGGAGGCCGAGGCAGGCAGATTGCTTGAGCTCAAGAGTTCAAGACCAGCCTGGGCAACAGCAAGATCCTGTCTCTATAAAAATAAAACAGAAAGAAAGAAAAGAAAAAAAGAAAAGAGTAATTGAGTTGTATGTATGGTTTGGGAGACTTTGCCCTACTATTCAAGTATACTCTAAAGCTGCCATCATTTAAATAGTATGTTACTAACACAGGAGA